TGAAGAAAAATTATACAAATATTAATTTATTCCTTGTACACTCAGATTGTTAAATACTCAGAATGGTATATATTAATATTTTAAATTTATATGTAGCCCACTGTTGTGTGTTCTTATTTATCTTGTTTTATATTGTGGTGTATATTTTATGTGCTTATTCCGCTGGATACAAATATCTTAATAAAGTTGAACATGAACTAACGTTACTTCAAAAATACGCAAATCATAAAACATAAAAAATAAACAAACAATGACGGCTTATTAGTGAATGGTGACATGAGAAGTACAGAAGATCACAGGATCAATAACATCCCGCCAGATTGCCTGAATCCATTTCCGTCGAACTTCATCGACAGGGAACTGACGAGGGAAGGAATGAAAACGACAGGTATGGCTGCTTTTGGGAATAACCAAAAAGATCGGTACGCAACAACTCTCACTAGTTGCCTTCGGCGCTATCTGTTATGAATGGAGCGGAAGAAGATTACCACGACAATTGCGTATTTCCGGTCACAAATACGGAAGTTGTGAGAAAGGTCTATTTGATTCCATGGCCATTATTTGATCCCGTGGCTTTTGAGACGAGCTATCTATCTCCCCGTCAATGCTTAAAAAGACTTCCTGAGACATCTTTAATCTGTTGTGTGGAAAACATTTTTTTTTTTCTCCAAATGTTTCTGAAATGTTTATCTTAAAATGTTCATCTTATCTATAGGTTTCAGAAGCTGAGTCTCAGTCCCTCTTTATCTGCATCTCTTGCGGTGTTTTTTCTCTAAAGGGTTAAGTCTACAAACACATCCATGTTTTTTCTCCACCCACCTGATCGTAATAGTTGTGATGTGATTGTAACATTGACCGCTTTACCCTTCACCATCCAGGCATGAATAATTGATCAGGTCCGGAAAGTGCAATAAGTGAACCACATCCTGCTCTGTGAACATTGTGGCAGAGCGTCTAACTGCCAAGCCTATTGGTCCGGTCTTATTTTACCACAGCAGTGTTTGCTTGGGAATAGCCAGAACAACATGCTGCTCTCTCTGAGATCTCATGGAGTCATTGATGGGAGTTTGGGAGTTGATGCGAGCGGCTCTAGCGCACTTGTTACAAGGGCACATAAAGACCAGGATGGACTTCTACAGTACATCTGCTGTCAGAGGAGGCTCGGTGGTTCTCTCCTCTCATGTAGGTGCTATTCGGACTCTTTAGCTTTCATGTTGGTCTGTAAATGGTCCATTTAGTAAGTAGAAACCTAAACTGAGCTGATGTTTGAGTATGATCTTTGGTTTCACTGTCTATTTTTTTAAATACTTTTTTGAAATTTCAAATGAACAAACTGTATAGCTGCTTTGGAACAATTGTGAGCTGTGAAAAGCACTGATACATTTGAATTGAATAGTTGAATATCAGCTCATTTTTATTTGTAAGCTAAATGGTGCAAAATGCAAATACACTGACTGGTGGAATATAATTATGCATCCAATTAATGATAAAACTTTTTTTATAATTAACATTATAAAATGAAAAATAACAATTATTACATAAATTATGTAAAATGTTGTTTTTTAATTGTATTATTTTATTTGTGCATGTTTGTAGAGTAGGAAGTACATCGGAGGTTATGCTATCAGTGTGTGATCTAATAGCAGTACATTACCAAACTGGCTTGAAGGAGGATCAGTTCATATTAAGGCTGACACTGAGTGCTTTTGGACCGGAGCCAGCCTTTAAAGTGCTCAAATGGGTTTAAATGGGCCAAGTATGCTTGCCTTTGTGTCAGTGTTTCAAATGGCAGTTATTGCACTTGGAAATCTCCATATAGTGGCCATAATAACCAATCAAGTTAATATTTGTACAATCTGACCTTAGTCTCTGGAGTGGCTAAATCTGCTGGCTCATTGGATTCTTTTTGGCTTTGATAATTTGTGATTAGCTCAACACATTTTAATAGTAATGTTTGTTTCTGTTTCAAGGAAGGAAGAGAAATGGAGGGTGCTTGCTTATATAACAGGGCCTTTTCATACACATTAAAGCTGGCGTAGGTGTGTTTTAAATGTGTTGAAGACAAAGGACATTTGAGAAGGGAATTTGTAGAGTGGGTTACATCAACATGGACAATCAGGAATGTTTGGCTTTTTTAAAGGGGGGTACAAAACTGCTATGTTAGATTAGATTTGACAGATGACTTGATTACTGCTTGGCTTGTCCAGATGGCTCAGCTCTAATGTCGGATTTTTATCGTGGAGTCTTGTTCTGTAAGGAGAATTCTGCATTCAGACTTGTTTAATCCAATTAACATGTTCTGCAAGCCATTTCTTTTTGTTTATGGTGAAGTTGAACTTTGTTACTCGATGTGTATTGCATGCCATGATCTGCTTTGCTCCAACTTTAATATTGATAGGACTTTATCAAACAGATGTTGTTTTATATTATGTTAAATGCTGTTTTGCTGTTTTATGGTGTGTTTTTGTTCTAATATTATGTTTTGTAAATGTTGTGTTGTTGTTTTATGTTGTTTTTTCATATGCAAATTTTTGTTTGTTTTTGTTTTGATGTTTGAAGTTTTATGTTTTGTTATATTTTTTTTATTTTATTTTTTTAGATTTTGTTATGTTGAGTTTTGTTGTTTTTGTGTTTTTTTAATGTTATGTTGTAACATTTGTGTGTAACAATGTAACATTTTATGTGTTTTATGTTTGTTTTGTTTTGAAAAAAATATTTTCAAGATTTGTTATCACATTTTATCTTTTGTCAAATCAACTTAAATCATTTATTTAGTTCAGATAACTTATTATTTTGTGTTTCTGGTGATTAAATCAATCTCCTTCATTGTGTTAACTCACTTTTCCATTTCAATCAACTTAACATTTTAAGGCAACCAGGTTACTTACTTAATTTAAGTTAAACCAACAATATTTTTTACAGTGTGTGTTTTAAAAAAATGTTATTGTGGTATAAGCACTTTCAGATATTCCATGCAAAATGTGTAAAAATGAAACAAATTCACTTTATCGGACAGAAGGTTTCAAACCTGATAAATGGACCAGACCTTTTGCTATGTGGCTAGACTATTTAGACTACCTCCCCCCACTAAAATGATCAAACTGCCGGAAAAAAAAGAGGTTAAACAGGTGAAAGCATAATAAAGGTTTTGTTTTTGTCATGCTGTGAGAAGCAAATAAACAGGAAATGGTGGAGGGCACATGCAGTCTGGTAATGAGCAGCGAGAGCCTTACCTCCAGACTCTACAAACAGACCTCTCTTACCTGCACAATGCTGCATTGATCGATCAGTCAATCGTGTCACGGCAGAGACCTGTCCTGTGTTTGTTCTAAGCTTTCATTCCAGCACCTGGCAAATGTAACAGGACCTCTTTACTCAAGAAAATATCAAGGCTTGGTTTTCCACCTGCATGATATATTCCCGGCATGCGCTCATCATTCAGTCTTTCTTTCTGGGGCTTGCACTGAAAATACAATTGTACATGTAAGTCAGAACTCAAAATAAAACATAAAAATCATCAGATTTTTCTGAAAATCTGATGTAAATTTGCTATTTTAATCCCTTATTAGCTTTGTCTGTAGCCTTTACCCATGCAATTTAAATGTCTTTTTAAATATTATTTTTATTTATTTTATTTTATTGGTTTATTTTATTTATTGTAAGAAATGTATAAATATATATTTTTAACAATAATAATAATGACAATAATAATTATTAATTTTAAAATTAATATAAAAAACATACTATAATCATTTGTTAATATGATTGTTTTTAATTTTATTTATTTGAAATGTATTTTTATTGTTTGGTATGGTTCTACAGTTATGCATTTGCTTGTATTTCTAACAAAGTTGAAATCTTTAGACAAGGATGATACAGTGTTACATATTGTTTAGTTAAAGTGACAAATATGTCACTTCAACTACATTTTCAGCATTTCGAATGCCCCCAAAGGGATACTCAACTTTTTTTTGGAAATAGGCTCATTTTACAACTCCCCCAGATTTAAACAGTTGAGTTTTACCATTTTCGAATGCATTCAGCCGATTTTTTTGATATTTAGAAAAATATCAGTAACCAGACAGTTTCTGGTCTCATTGACTTCCATAGCAGGGGCGTAGCCAGAATTTAATTTTTGGGGGGTCCCGTCTTTAAATGAGGGGGCAACATTATTTATATATATATCAAGTTGATCTTTCCGTGCTTTTAAAAAAAAGTGTAATATTGTACTTTGAGTTTGAGCGCCTGCCATTGTCACGGCATATTAACTCTCACGCAAAGATGAAGATGACAGCGTACGTTACGCGCAACACGTTATACGTATAAACAAATCAAGTTTGAAAATAAGCCGCATTTTACCGCGCAGCATTTTGATTGGTCAATCTATCAATCCTAATAAAACAACTTTTTTTTTTTTTTTCAAGCAATCAGAAATCTGAGGGGACCGGACATGTAAATGAGGGGGCCTAGGCCCACCCAGGCCCCCTCGTGGCTACGCCACTGTTCCATAGTAGGAAAAAAATATACTATGGAAGTCAATGAGACCAGAAACTGTCTGGTCACTGATATTCTTCTAAATATCAAAAAATCGCCTGAACACCTTCGAAAACGGTAAAACCCAACTGTTTAACTCTGGGGGAGTTGTAAAATGAGCCTATTTCCAAAAAAAGTGGAGTATCCCTTTAAGTATTTCGTCTGGGCTCTGGCTCTGACTCTGTTGGTGCTTAGCCATCTTTTTAATGCACAGTGGCTTGAACTTCTGCTGATGGTTCTTTTTACAGATAATCTTTTCCCCTTTCCCTGATATATAATGTCCTAATTGATTCTTGCTGTCCAACACACCTGATCGATGCGCCATCACTCCATGTTACTCTCTCTCGCTCTAAAACCTAGTCTTCTGTTGCTCTTTTGCATTATTGATCAGATTTAAATGTCCTTAGTGCTTTACCATAAGTTTTCAAAACTGATGCTTAATTCAGATTTTTCCTCTCTTTCCACAGGCCCCCAGTTGCCAAGACAGACCCCTCAGGTGCAGAATGGCCCTTCGCCAGAGGAGCTGGAGGTGCAGAGAAGGTAAATACCAATGTTAAAGACACTGACTGCAGTTAATGGTACAAAAAGGTCTTGATGAGAAGTCACCCAAAGGGTTCCGTTCAGCTTAAATCAATCAAAAAGCCTGCAGATGAGATTTATTCATCATTTAAAGGTGTGATTAGGAAAGTATGTTTCAAGGTTCTCTTATGTTTTCCCAATACCAGTAGAACCATAATCTTGCTCTCATTTTTGGCTATAGTGTATTTGCCAAAATGTTTTTTTTAAGGTGCAAAAATTAGTTTTAGTGGAGAAAATGGATTAGCACACACTTAAGCACAAAACAACATGTGCACTCATAGATTCCGAGTTGACATCTGCATGTGTGAAGGTGAGAATATGAACCAGGTGAAACCTCACACTGCAGAATCAAACACAGATAGTGTTGCAATGTAATGTTAATGTCTGTTGGACTAAGTTCAGTTAAATCATCACTTTGAAGCTCTGAATTTGCTTTTTCATGAGCGTGTTTTCATCAAGAATTCTGTGGACTTCAAAGGCTGTTACTCACCCAGGTCTTGTTAATGAAAAGCTTTTCTGCAATGAGTTCCCAAAGGAAGCAGCAGTCAAGGTTGAGGCTGGCTGCTTTACTGGAATATACATGCTCAAAGCTCACAGCATCCTTGGCAGGTTTTTTCTTTCTACGTTTTCTTCAATAATACCGGGCTATAGATGCAACTTTTGCATCCTTATTAAATTTTATTGCAGTAAGGCTTAAAATGTTACCATATAGCAAAAAAGGCTGCTATATGATGTGTAGTCATGTTGACTCTTTCCCTGACTGTGTTTTTGAAAAAAGTTGCTAGCCGCTGCCAGAATGTTTAATCATTTTCACAAAAGTTTCATGACCCCTAGAACTCGTTGTATGATTATTTGAATATGCAATATATCAAAAGAACAAACCCTCTTTTATCAACACTTGAATATTGGGTAAGTTTCATAAAAAAATATTAGAATAACACGTTTTTGTCAAAGACTACATCCAGATTGGAATTCAGAATGATGATCAAAACATAGATTGAGCTCATCATAATTTTAAGGCCTGCTAACTACCAGATTATTTTATATATATATATATATATATATATATATATATACACACACTATATATATAGTGTTTATAAAATGGAATGCATGAAGCTAGAATAAAACTTTTTTTGTTGTTTAAAAGCAGAAGGTTTGTATATATATGTATATATTTTTATATAATTCATATACGCATTTTAGATGAACAACAACACCTTACATATTACAGTGTGTCGTTATTTATCTAACAAAATTAAAGCCACAATGGAGAAGCCATGGGTGACAAACTAAATGCATTTAGTGTTATTTAATTTTTATTAATAATGTGTGCCTCTGTGGCTTTTGTGGGTGCGTTAGCAGAAAATCATTACAAAGGGGCAGAAAGATTATAAAAACCATCCTTCTGCCCAATTTTTTCTTTACAAAATGTACATGACACATCACTCACAATAAGGACAGTGACATTTATTATGTAGAAAGGCCACCTTTTCAATTTGTGTTGTCCTTAATGACTTAATGAAAGTTATTATCATGTTTTGATGTAGAGTAGGGAAAGATCTTCTTTAGCTCTGTTACATGAGTGTTTCTCCATCAGTGATGTATAATTTCTATGAGAAGGACCCAGAGGAGTCTGAGGCGCTCTGTAGAATACTGAACATGATCTCAGTCTTTTGATGGTGACTCAGCATTGGTCATGTCCTACTTTGCTACAGAAGAGATGTCAAATCTTCACAGGCTTTATCTGCAGAGCCCCTGCAGCCTGTGAAAACATTAACTATTGGTGTTTTCCCTGCGTATTGTAAGCCAGGCGAGGACACCGTTGGACACAGTTGTGCATCCTGCATAACAAAAATTGTTTGGCTGCCTTTTTCGCTCCTGACTAACGTGCTCCACAGCCTGAGGAGTGTACATGGATTCTGTACACTGCACACACAATACTTATTTTTAATAATTAGTGTGAAGTGTTCACATCATGGCTATGTTTTTGAGTCTATTAAAAAACACTCACCTAAAGGATTGTTTGGAACACGATACTTACGTATACTAACAATGCCTAATTGGCACTAAGGGGCCTAAAGTGTGCCAAGAAAACATTCCCCACACCATTACACCACCACCACCAGCCTGCAAAGTGGTAACAAGGCATGATGGATCCATGTTCTCATTCTGTTTACGCCAAATTCTGACTCTACCATCTGAATGTCTCAACAGAAATCATGACTCCTCAGACCAGGCAACCTTTTTCCAGTCTTCAACCGTCCAATTTTGGTGATCTCTTGCAAATTGTAGCCTCTTTTTCCTATTTGAAGTGGAGATGAGTGGTACCCGGTGGGGTCTTCTGCTTTTGTAGCCTATCCGCCTCAAGGTTGTGCGTGTTGTGGCTTCACAAATGCTTTGCTACATCCCTCGGTTGTGACGAGTGGTTATTTCAGGCAAAGTTGCTCTTCTATCAGCTTGAATCAGTCGGCCCATTCTCCTCTGACCTCTAGCATCAACTGCCGCATA